ATGATTGTTATTGAATAATAAGATATGATGGTGAGGCTGCAAGGGAGATAAAGGACATTTCTACAATGTTGGTCAGAATATAAACTAGTACAAACGCTATGGAAAATCATCATGGAGCTTCCTCAAAATTTAAAACTATAAATCCCATTTGATTCAGTTATTCCCCTTCTAGACATCTTCCCAAAAGAGTGAAAGACATCATATTACAGTGATTCATATATATCTATGTTCATAGCAGCACAATTCACAATAGCTAAATCTCGGAAGCAGCCTATATGCAAATGAATAGATGAATGATTAAAGAAAACTTGGCCTCTATAGACAATGTAGTACTACATAATGAAGGATAAGCTTGAAGCATGTGTAGTAAATAGATGCACTTCAAGACCTGTTATGGTTTATGTCTGGATGTCCCCCACAAAGTCTCATGTACTTTTAGGTAGGGCTTTATCAGGGACAGCTGAATCCAGAGTTTGTGACTGATTCATATTGCTAAGATGGGATTAAGGGTGCTAGGTTTAAAAGTGAATGATTGATCACTTACTGATTGGATTGGTACTGCTCTAATCTCAGTAATCTGGATAAGATAAAAGGGGCAGAAGGAGGCTTGATTTTCCCCTTATCTCTTGTTGCATTTGGTATCTTCCACCACCATGAAAGGTTGCCCCTCTGCCACACCACCTTACCTTGGGGGCAGCCAATTATGGACTGAAACCTCTACAAACTGTGAGCTAAATAAATCTTTCCTCCTTTAACTTTGGGTGTTGGGTATTTTGTCTCAGTGATGAAAAGAAATGTAAGACAAGACAATAATATTAAGTCAAATAAATTGCTTAACTAACACAGGGCATCTTTTTATGAGAAACCCAAAATATAAATAAAGAGCAAAATAACAGACAGTGGAAAATGTCAAGACAGATTTGTTACATACAGGAAAGAGATCAAGAGATGGAGTGAGGGAAGGCATGACATAAAAAAAGTAATTTGAAAGAATTGTGTACATGTACTAATGCTCTATGATAAATGTAATAATTTGGTTCTGTAGACATATGCTATCAAAAGATTTGAATTTAATTTTAAATTTTGTTATAAACATCCCATTCAATTTAATAGGTTGCAGTTTACCCAGTAAGTAAATATTTATTTTTGAAATAGTTAGGAATTAATCAGGGAAGTAAAAAGCTGAAAGCTACTTATGATCTTATAAAGGACACAAGCATAAAATAACTAACAAAATATGATCTTAGCAATTTAAAGAGGAAGAAAACTGCTTAGACCAGGAAAGTTTAATGCTCCTCCTCTGAGACAAAGTCACATTAAATCACCCAGCTTGAGCTTGAGTTTGTGATCCTATTGCCTCTGTTTCCCAGAATGCTGAGTTACAAGTACTATTTTGCTCTTTTTGAGAACACTTTGCTATGTAGTCTAAGTCAGCCTTGAACTCACTATGTAACCCTACATTTGCCAAATGCTCGAAGTTAACATCATGAGATATCATATGCATAACATAAATTTCTTGCTATGTTCTGATGAAAAGGGCACTGTAATATTCTTTCCAAAACTATAATCTCTATCTAAGCACAAGAAAATCCAGATTCAAAAGCAGTCTACAGATGTCTAGCTGTTTCATATCAAGACTATCAAGATAAAAGAAAAAAAAGTAGTTGGCTTTGCTTTCAGTGCAATAATTATACTTTATTATACTTTCGGTGTAATAATTTATAGCCATATATATGCAGCTGTGTGCTAAATCTTGTGAGCCTGCTATAAAGATTGAACCTGGGGATGATTTTAGAGCCTGCTAACTGGAGTGGATCTGAAATGTACCATAGAATTTTGAGATGTTCATGATGAAAGAAACTCTCTGAGAGGTAAATAAAAACTCTGTACCATATTTTAACTTTCTTGTAAGTCTAAAAGTATTCTAAAGTAAAGAATTCACTAAAAAATAACATTCAAACCAACTTTGGAAATTTATGAAAAATCATATACCACTTATCTGGAAAGGGTGGTGAACTTCATTTATTGTAATCAAAAAGGACAAATTATAGTAATTAAAAAATCAGATTCAGGATCTGATTGTGAGAGAACCCAAATCTAAAAGGTTTTGATTAGTCAAAGTGATAATAAAGGAAGGCTGAGCTCATCACTCCCAGCATGTCTCCTCCATTATAGTTAAGTTCTGATGAGGAAGGAATGAGACCCTAAGACCCAAGATGCGACTGTTTGCATGTGTACCCTTTAGAACTCTGAGCTGATAGATTTATCCTTATGTTCCAGACCAAAAAAGAGATATTCATCCTTACTAGAGGACAGTGGCTTCCCTTTTGCTGAAAAACTTGCAGAAATCTCACTGAAGAGGATATCTTTCAAAGTCTTTCCCTTTTCCAGATTTGTCCACCACTTTTTGGAGCAAAGAAAAAAGATCTTTCTAATCTTCTGTAGTGTTTCTAAGTTGACAACTAGAGTACTTTTCACTGTGGGCTACCTGGGGAAGCACTATACCTGTTTTGTAGTACAAGGAGATATTCATCAAATATGTACTGGTAGAATTAGAACATACCCAGATCTATCCAGCTATGTCCATTGGTGCATAATTGTTTTCTGTCATCAGGGAGGTAAAGGCTCAAAACTGGTTGTTTTAGGGAAAAATGGAAATACTGAATTTCTTTGTTACCAGAGATTGTGCATTGCTGAGTTATCTTTTAACTTCCCAATCAGTTCATCAGGTGAAGCAACAGTAAAAAATTGATGTGGCTTCTGGTTCTGAACACAGGGTCTGGCTCCTAGTCACTTTCTAAAAACTTTGTTAATTGGAGGAACTCCTGAAAAGAATGAGTACATACACAAAAAGGTAACTATCTCTAGATATTTATGCATATTCAAAATTAAAGTAGAAGACCTAAGAGACTGTGTAAAATGTAAATATTTTCCAAAGGCTATTCTTCAATCTTTTGCCCAACACAACTCCTCTCTTATGGCTAACTGCTGCTATAGTCTCCTACACTGTCTGAGTCTGCTTATTCACATGCATAATCCACACTGATTATATTCCAAGAACTCCTTTTTATACTATTCTGCTGAAATATCCTTAATGCCTTAAATGCTAAAACTAAAATTTCTTTGCTTGCTTTTAAGGTTATCTTTACTCTGTCTCCTCTTATCTCTAGCTAATCTCATTTTTCATTCCAACACTGAGCCTTAAAGCTAGCCAAATCTATCTAGAGCATCTCCAAATATATTTTGGATATCTTTTGTTCAGTGCTTTTTGGAAACCAGCCCTTCACCTGCAAATATTTCCTTCTTATTTGTGCACCTATCTGTATACAAAATGCACTCACCTTTTGGAATTATTCCATGTGTAAGGGTACTCTCATCTGTAATAGCAACTCTATACAAGGAATGAAAAAAATGTTTTTGACTTGTTTAAAACGTTGAAGTAATTCTAGGGGCTGGGGATTTAGCTCAGCGGCATAAGCGCCTGCCTTGCAGCAGGCAGTCGTGAGTTCAATCCCTGGTACCGATAAAAAAGAAAAAGACAAAAAAAAAATTAAAAAAAATGTTGAAGTAATTCTTAGAATTTAAAATCATTTAAAAATTATAAGATTGAGTACACAAATGGCTGTTTACTATTAGCTGCCATTTTACACATGTCTTGTTCAGTTTGAAAATCAGGGGTTCATTTAAAAAGTATTTATAGGGCTGGGGATTTAGCTTAGTGGCGCAACACCTGCCTCGCAAGTGCGAGGTCTTGAATTTGGTTCTCAGTACCAAAAAAATGTATTTATAAAGCACCTAATTTTTTTTAGTAAGAATGGATCAAACAGTTTATTTTGAAAATTTTTATTTACTAGTGCCCATTAATATTACAAATACTAAGTTTCAGTGTGGTATTTTCATACGTGTGTATTTTGATAGTATCCACCCCTCCATTGTCTTCCCTTACACCCCTCCATCTAATTCCCTCTTCTCTCTACTTTTTTCGACTCCACATATTAAGGAAAACATGTAATATTTGTCTTTTCCAATCTGGCTTATTTCCCTTAACATAATGTTCTCCAGTTCCATTTATTTCCTTGCAAATGACATAATTTTGATTTTCTTTACAGGCAAATAATACTTCATAGTAGATATGTACCACATTCACTTTATCCATTCATGTGCTGATAGATACTTAGGCTTGTTTCGTATCTTGGATGTGAATTGTCAGTACCTATTACAGCCCGACACAATTTTAGGCCCCAGGGATACAGCGTTACACAAAATTCACTATGGAATTTATTTTTTAATGAGCAACCTAATAACCTCAGAAAATGATAAATGCTATGAAAAAAACAGAAGAGGCAGGGTTAAGAGGGTCAGGGCACGTATGGGAAGGCAGGGTACTTGCATTTCTACATTCATTTGAGTACCTGGCTGGCTACCACAGGAACCTGAATTCATGACCTGTTAATATCCGAATTATTGTACGCTACGCACTGCCTCTATAAAACCTCAGCAAATCGAAGGTAGGAGTGGTTGTATTCTGTCTTTGCGGTCCCAAGCCCCAGCAGTGTTTTTATGGAAGACACGATGAGAAACAAACAATTTTGAGTCTCCACGGAGTTCCGGTGATTGTCTTTGGCGTGTAGAAGAGTGACATTTTGCCCTAAATGCCTGCAGAGCCAGGTTATTCAGAAATTCTCAAAGCCACTATTGGGCCGGCATAGGTTTTCCTGAGCAACGAGACTGTGACGCGAACGCAACAGTTGGTCCAAGGCCACTGGGCTCTGCAGCCCAGAGACAACCAAAACGGGTGTGAAGAAAGTTGCTACCACAACCGACTGCCCCTCACAAAACATCCTAGGAGACCACGCCCTCTGCCGTCCCGTCTCCATCACTGCAGCTTCTGGGCTTCCGGCGTCTTGTGAGTCTAGGAGGGAGAACTTCCGGCCTCGAAGGTCCTTGGCTCTGTGGTCATCTGGGGTCCTGAAGATAAAAAGGTGGCCTCATCAGACGCCTGATTTCTATGAAGATCTGAGTTGGACATGTTATTTTTCTCTTGAAGGATGACAGCGACAAGAGCGCTGTGAAAATGCTTACGACTGACAGGATCTCGTCTCGGGAGGATCTTGGGGGCGGAGAGTCCGGACAGAGCGAGGATTGGGAGCCGGCCTGTCAGGCGGGAGTTGGGCAGGTGCGGTGGCGGAAGTGCCGAGACAGCGGCCTGAACCAAGCTGTCTAGGTAGACGCGGCGGTCAGGCAGCCTAGAGCAGCTGCCAAGCCTTGGTCAGGTCGTAGCGACTGGGGCTCGGGTGCCGGCGAGATGCCTCTGTTCACCGCCAACTCCTTCGAGCAGGATGTGGGTGAGTGACTTTTCTGGCTCTGGGTTTGTTTGTCTAGCACGAAAGTGGGCGGCGGCGACTCTGGAGACTGGAAAGTAAGCAAAGAAGGGAAGGGGCGGTGCCGCCGCCTTAATGTCGGGGGTTCGCTGCTTGGCAGCCTCGAACCCATAGCTGGAAGCCTGGGGCACACCTTCTGCTGGCCTGAGGTTGAGGACCCTGAAAAGGACAGTTCTTTTCGCCACGCACAGGATTAGGACGAGCCCATGTTTCGCTGGAATCGAGCTGCGGAGTTGATACAAACTTCCTGCTCCCTCCAGAGCTGGTTAATTTCCCTACACGCCTTGCAGGTGATGCAGCAATGGGGAGACCTTGCTGTTTAGAGCGCCCCAAAACTAGAGACTTAGACTTACCTTTGTTGAATAGGAAGAATTTACTCGAAGGCCTGATAATGGAGCTTCATGAGGTATCCACACTTGCGAAGATGCTATGAGATGTTTTGTCTTACGAGGATGAAAAGGAAAACTTCACACTCTCACTACAGGGCCCAACAGCATACATTTGTTGGGGCAAAATATTAGTTGCTCTCATAGCACTGACCTTTTGGTAACTATAGAATGAGAAAAAGATAGACTCGACATAAGAAGTTATTTGGGGGCATTAAGATAACCATAAGTCAAACAAACTGGCTAAGAAAACATGTTTGTAGCAGTAGTTAACTTATTTCTAAGAAGACTTTTTGGGACTTGAGATGAAGAAAAACCAGGACTGAAAATTGCCCAAGTCACGCAAAATACTGTACATTTTATCAGTGAGCCACCTGTTTCATAGTTCAAAGTTCTTAATTATGAAGACTAAAAAGTGTCCCATTTTGGTACGTTATGTGATTCCAAAACTATTCAAAGGAGGAATTTGTAGTTATGTGTTTACCCTTAGCCTTCGAATATTATTATATTGCTATTAGTTCATTCAGCTTTGTTCTTTTTAGATGGATATAGGTAACTGGCATAAATCTAGGAAATATGCCGAAGCTCAGTCTCTGCTTTGAAACACATTTCTTCTTTTGTTTTAATTAAACTACTTTTGTGTGACCTGTAATTTTGTTGATTTTTGTTTTGTTTTGTTTTGTTGAAGCAGGATCTCACTTTGTAGTTCAGGCTGCCTTTCAACTCTGTAGCCCAGGCTGGTCTTGAATTTGAGACTGCCTTCTTGCCTCAGAGATTATTAAAAGCACCCTCCACTACACCTGGCTGAGACTATATTTTCTTTTTCCTATTGTGAAGGCTTTCATTTATTTCCAGTAAATGAAACAGATGAAGCACAATAGTGTAAGAAATTATTTAAAATTTAGTAACTGCAGACTTGTTTATGGTGAATGTTTCCTGGAGCCCATTGTTTTCTCATCAAAAACTGCTGGTAGAAGTAGGCTGAATTGCTCAGCCTGTTTTACTTTTTAAAAATATTTCCAAAGTAGCTCCTGAGGTCCTTGCATAGTTTTCTTTTTGAGCCAGGGATCAAACTGACGACCTCATGCTTGCCAGATAGGCGCTTACACCGCTGAGCTAAACCCCCATCCCCTGGTGCTTGCATAGTTTTTAACACATCACAGTTTCATACCACTGTAGTGAAAGAAATACAGGTAATTAATTTTTTTATTGATTTTTTTAATCAACCAGTTTCAAGTTTTTATTAGCTCTTGTATGACTGAAATCATCATCTAAAAGTTAAAGAGTGAGTTTGTTTGAGGCTCTGTAACTTCTGTATAAGTGAATGGAATTATAATAAAATCAATGAAATATGAAGGAAGCTTAAGCTTACATAATTGAACAAAAATTATACAAAACTCATTTTTATATGTTAAGGCTTTTAAAATTTAAAATAGGTAACTAAGTTATGATGTGATTTGACTTACATTTTTAGTGTTAGGAAGTGAACCTACAGCATGATAAGTGAATCCTCTACCACTGAGTCACATTCCTAGCCTATTGATTTGAAACTTCTAGAATATTACTTTATGGTGTCATCTTTTTCACTTACTTTCCTTGATTTAGATTACTATTACTTTTCTTCAGTCATAACCTTTGTTCACTCTTCCTTCAGAAACATGCATCAAATAGTTACTGTGTGTCAGGCATTGTGTTAAATTCTGGGGCCACAAAAATTAAATACAGAGTTCTTGCCCTCCAGGAGCTTCAATGTATTGTAGGACACATACCTAAATAGAAAAGTATAGTATCATATGATAAATATGATGACAATAAATATAGGAATATATGACATGCTTTATATTCTCTATTTACTTTTAGTTATTTTATTTTGTTATTTTATTTTATGTTTTTGTCTTTTTTTTTTTGCCACAGGATTTTGCTATGTTGTTCAGGCTTGGCCTTGAATTGACTTTGTATCCTAGGTTAGCCTTGAATGTACAGCTTTCTGCCTCAGCTTCCCAAATCATTTCGTTATTTTTTTTACTTTGTTCTCACTTTGTAGTTAAGGGTGTTCTTGAATTTGCTGTCTGGCCCAAGCTGGCCTTGAACTCCCAGTGGTCCTCCTGGTTTAGCCTCCTGAGTGTTGAGATTACAGGTGTGCAGTACCACACCCAGCTGTCCTCCCTTTTATTTGAAACAGTCTTCTTCCTGAAGAGATGAGAAGCACTTAGAGGTATGACCTTTCTCTAGAAAGGCTAACACTATCCTCCCCTTCCCTGAGTCCAAACCCCACTTTTACCAGCAGGAAGTAATTACTTCTTACTGTACATATGATAATGTTATTCACTAACGGTGTTTCCAAGGGGCAGGTACAACATGACAGAGTTACAGTGAGAAGTATTAAAAGAGAAAATTTTATTTCTGCATATTCTGTACCAGTTTTTCCAGTTAAACTATATTGGTTCCTGAGTTGTGTTTTGTCTCTTCTGTGCACTAACTCCAGATCATGTTTATCTTTTTCTCCCTTACCAGTTTTTGCCCTTTTTTTGTCCTGTTTCTGGCTCTGATTGGTAAATGTTTGCTATTTTCAACAATTTTAATATCTCTGTCTTTAAAGGTACATTCACTTGTGCTTCACAAAGCTGGATTTGAATTTGGCACCCCTATAAAGTTCTTTTGATGTAGCTTGAAGTATGAACTTCTTTCTTAAGAGGGTGTTTCTTCCATGTGAAATTCAAATATGTGTATTGCTGCATGTTTGACTTGTTAGCAGAACTTGACATTTGGATAACTTGGGGCTTTCAGTCATGTGGTTTTTTTTTTTCCAGTGAAATTTTATAAGAAATTCCAGTATAAAAGCAGATAGTGATAGTATTTCATTAATACAAATTTATTGCATACATTCAAATTTATGAAATTTTCTTAAGCCAATCTTTGAACAAAATTTAATTGTTGTAACCTCTGTAAAAAGTTAAACATTTTTTTAAAAATTGGTTACAGATGAAAATGGTATCCTCAACAGGCAGTTTTTCCTATACTTTATTTTACTTGCATAGGACCAAAAAAATCCTAATATTTTCAGAAGTTACATATTTTAGTCAGTTTATTTTGAGGTCTTTTTTAAACTATGGGATATTCTTAGCATAAAGTGTAAGATACAATATTCTTATCAGCCAATGGTGCCAACTCCTTATATTTTGATGAAATTGATTCTTTTTAAGAAGAGAATATTCCACATACAGTTGAAATATTTTAGTATTTTTAGCTGCTGTCATTTCTATTTTTTTTCTTTTAGAAACTCTCCTAACAGATACAAATTCTGTTTTGTAGATACATGCATTACATACTTACAGCTATACTGTTTTGCAGTATTTTTCCTATTATCAAAATGTCAGCCAATTAGCAACTTTTCTCATGTTCCTTTGCTGCAAATATTGTTTCTAGAAACCTAATACACTTGATTTTGCCCATTGTTTTCCTGCCTTTCCCTTCTTTATGACTAAATTTTATACTGAATTAACATCTTTAACTGTTGTAGATGTAATGAACATTGTGTCCACCTTCTAGGTGTAATCAATACTATTCCCATTTTTTAATGTTTAAGGACAACATTATTTTCTTAATAGATCTATAGTAGCTGTGCTTGGGACAAGGAACACCTTTTTGTTCCTGTTACACCCTGTGAACACTTCGCTGTTTACAATAGAGATTTGTTACAGCTGTCACAGTTTTGAGAAAGCCTTTAGCTATCTATAGTTAAGGAATTTTGAGAATGAAATATCCTATGAAGTCGTTCCCATTGTGACTTTTAATGCAAACTCAGAGGCTGTATTTAATAGTTTTCACATTAAAAAAAAAAAAAAAAGAAGAAGAAAGTATGGGGCTGGAAACATTGCTCAGTAGGTAGAGGGCGCTTGCCTGGCATAGTTACGACCTGAATTTATTCTCTAGCAGTTGGAAAAAATAAAAAACCATAAGGGAAATAAAGGATTTAAAATGTTTTAACTCCGTCTCCTTATTTAATGGGCAAGTGACTATATGACTTCTGCAGGGGAAAATCATTGTGAAGTATGTGTGTCTTTTTGAGATGGTGTTTTGATGTGATGCCCTGGCTGGTTTTGAATTCCTGGGCTCCAAGTATCCTCCCACCTCAGCCTTCCAAATGCTGAGACAGCTGCAAATATGTCATTGTGCCTGTCAGTAAAGTTTAATTTTAAAGTCAGACTATATAGGATTAAGTTTTATTTGATTTGGTTACATTTTTATTGATATGAAGACTGAAACTTTTCTTGGTCAATAAATAGTACCAATTAAGACACTCATTTATTAACTTTTATTTATAATGTGAGAATTGTAGTAACTCAGAATTTTAGTTCTTTGAACTGAAAGGGACTTTTTATTTGGAGCAGTTTCTTTTGCTTTCATATGTCATAAATTATCTGAACATTGTCTTCTAAAAACTGTTTAAAGAAATCTAGCAGGTGCAATAGTTTGGTTTTTCTTACAATACTAAGTACTTGAAATGTACTTTTGGGAAGTTGAAAGAGAAGAACTTTTTAAAAAACATTAACTTAATTGGCCCCTGATAAGCAGTGA